ATACGTTAGAGCTATATATGCCACTTTTCTTGTGTATATCTTATAGTAAATTATAATTGTCAAAATCAAGACTGTCATTATTGCTGGTTGTGATGCTACTTGGATCATCATTTCCATTGTCAACTTCTGGATAAATCTGTGCAAATAATTATAATATTTACATGATAAATAATCATTTGGATTTTGGTATGATCATTATATTGTATATTTTTATAAAATTAAGCGCGATTTAAAATAGGTGAAAAATTATTTATAATGATGTTAACAATAATGAAACTTACTGCCTTTTTTTTATTCAGTTTAGTTGGTTTGCCAAATGATGGTCATCTTTAATATGGTGATTGAAATGAGTTGCAATAGCAATAGATATGTTTCTGCATAACAAATGTTATGCTCTACTTCAAAATAATCACTTTTGGTACTTATTCCCATAGCCAACTCTGAGATGTATGTTTTTTTAATTGTTTCTTAGAATGCAAGCGTAAATAATCTTCTAGATTTTTAGATAAAAATAAAACGTTCTCATTACAAATAATGCATTTCAGGCCGATGGGTTGATTGATTTTAAATAATCTTTTAGTTACTCAGACATTGTGTCCGTTTGAAGTGATGAAACGCGTTCTGACGAACCAACTGTGTCGTATGCTTCTTGCGTATTTTTCAATTTGTCCAAATGTTTATTTCTTGTATGACGATCTAAACTTTGTAAAATAGAAAGAGATACATCTTTATGACAAATATTACATTCCACTATATTATCATTTTTTTCTGTCCGAAATCTCAATGTCCAATCTGTTCCATATATATTATTCTTTTGTTGTTCTTCAGAATGCAAACTTAAATGATGTTCTACAGATTCAGTTGTAGACGGAACATCTGTATTACAGATAACACATTGTGAAGAGTATTGGTTTAAATATTTGAAATACTTCCATCGTATTAGTTTCTTCTCTTCTTCGTCTTCCGAAATTTCTTTATGTATTTTTATATGTGTTTTGAAGTTTGACGAGTCTTTATAAAGGTATGTATTTTCGCAATACTTGCATTTTGCTTTGAAATCCGACACTTTTGTATAATATTCCCACACATTCTTGTTAGTTATAATGCTTAGAGACATTGTGTCCGTTTGAAGTGATGAAACGCGTTCTGACGAACCAACTGTGTTGTATGCTTCTTGCGTATTTTTCAATTTGTCCAAATGTTTATTTCTTGTATGATAATCTAAACTTTTTGAAATAGAAAGAGATATATTTTTATGACAAATATTACATTCCACTATCTTATCATTTTTTTCTGTCCGAAATCTCAATGTCCAATCTGATCCATATACGTAATAATTCTTTTGTTCCTTCAGAATGCAAACTTAAATGATATTCTACAGATTCAGTTGTGGACGGAACATCTGTATTACAGATAACACATTGTGAAGAGTATTGGTTTAAAATATTTGAAATACTTCCATTGTATTAGTTTCTTCTCTTCTTCGTCTTCCGAAATTTCTTTATGTATTTTTATATGTGTTTTGAAGTTTGATGAGTCTTTATAAAAATATGTATTTTCGCAATACTTGCATTTCGCTTTGAAATCCGATACTTTTGTGTAATATTCCCACACATTCTTGTTAGTTATAATTCTTAGAGACATTGTGTCCGTTTGAAGTGATGAAACGCGTTCTGACGAACCAACTGTGTCGTATGCTTCTTGCGTATTTTTCAATTTGTCCAAATGTTTATTTTTGTATGATAATCTAAACTTTTTGAAATACAAAGAGATATATTTTTATGACAAATATTACATTCTACTATATTATCATTTTTTTCTGTCCGAAATCTCAATGTCCAATCTGTTACATATACGTGATAATTCTTTTGTTCTTCAGAATGCAAATTTAAATGATATTCTACAGATTCAGTTGTAGACGGAACTTCTGTATTACAGATAACACATTGTGAAGAGTATTGGTTTAAATATTTGAAATACTTCCATCGTATTAGTTTCTTCTTTTCTTCGTCTTCCGAAATTTCTTTATGTATTTTTATATGTGTTTTGAAGTTTGACGAGTCTTTATAAAGATATGTATATTCGCAATACTTGCATTTCGCTTTGAAATCCGACACTTTTGTATAATATTCCCACACATTCTTGTTAGTTATAATGCTTGGAGACATTGTGTCCGTTTGAAGTGACTGGACGAGTGTAACTAAATACAATACATAATGATGGCAGAAGTGTACACTGCGGTTTCTTCACACCAACAGAGAGAACCGTTTACATGTGTTGTGCAGAGCGTTTCGGTCAAACCTAGCTGACAATTATCAAAACACGCGGTAATATCTCATGCCAAGTATTATTGTCAGTAAAAGAGACGTTACAATGTATTCTTTACACGAATATATTTTGTGAGAAATAATGCACGAATAATATATTATATGTATATGTATTTTTAATATGCATCAAATAAAACTTCTCAAATTAGGAGGGCTATATTAAAAAAATCTATGTATTTTTTCGAAGTTATTTATACTGTCCTAAATGCAGTTGATATACCGATTGCAGAAATAAATAGATATGATTGACTGATTGTATTAAAAAATTATTATTATTATGCATTTATCCATCTGATTTATTTTCAAATATGGCATTATCAATGGCATTATCAATGGCATCGATTTTTTTGTGCAAGATGATTCTCTTAATGATCATTAAAATTTAACAAATTGGATTGACTTATCGGCACGATGCACAGCAACGGAATTTCCAAGTTGATTTGTAACATACAAAATACATTTCAATTATAGCAGCGTTTAAAATAATTCTCTCTTTGAAAGATAATTATGGCGTACATTTAACTTTTACTTATTATTTATGCTAATATCTAATACAAGATTTATGTTTCTATATCTATAAATAATTTAAATCTATAAATATCAAAAATTGCAAATATTTTACTGAATATGTGCGTTATATTACATAATATTTTACGTGCAATATTTTTGTAAATAATAGACAACAAACAAATGATTACTTATCCTAAAGTTGCCTCGCCGGCATCTAATGTTCTTCCTGAACTCGTCTCTTTTCTCTATTCTTTTTGCAAGTTCTTCAAGACATTCACACTTGTGCGCGACGCGAATATGAAAATTGCACGATGTTTTAAACAGCACTTCCGACGCGTACTTTGTCACGTTAGGACAAAAGTAAAACTTGCATGGATTACACGTTCGACACTTTGCTGCATCCGTAACCAATAACGATGAAAAGGGTGAGCTCGAAAACTGCAGAAAATAATAAGGATGGCACTATTGAAGAGAATAAAGCGTTAAGTAATACGGAACGATCTGAAGTGTGTCGTGCATGTAATAAGAGATAAACATATCAAGAACAACTCGACTTTGTCTATAATATGTTCATTGCATTCTTATTATTCGTACGGTAGTATTTCGTACGAAACAGATCATTCTGTATCGGCACGTTATCCTCTCCAAAAGTACAATCCTTATTATTTTTCGTAGTTTTCAATCTTACTCTTTCC